GGATGTCATAATCATGTGACTCTGCCATGGGCAATTGCAAACATGTTGTGTGAACGGGTGATAGCGCTCCTAGCGTCGGCTTCTTTTAAACATCAGCCCTTTATGCTCACATTATCAATAGCAAAGAACTGACTTCACACTGGTGAAAGATCCCCCGATACGCACCACTCAAGCGACCGCATGAACGAACCCGGATTTAGTCTTGCTTATTCTAATAATTTCTTAGCAGTTGAATAGCAACATATATTCGTTTTGTGGTCACTATTAAAACCTGTCTTAGAGGAAAATGAACCATTACACCCAATCTAACCGTTGCTGCAGCCTTAAAACGGCAAATTTTCTCAGCTCAAGATCGCGCCACGTCAACCTCAGGGCTCTAAACTCAACCTATCTGTGATGCGCAATTTGATGTGACCTCTGGCATCATAAACCCATAAAACAATTTTCCGTTCTTAAAATCACGCCATCATCATCCCACCCATCATACCAATACTATAGGTAGCTTACAGTATCTAAACAGAATGAAACTGCCATCATTTCTTAACAATGAGAAAGCAAATTCTTTTTTGCTAATCCTGATGCATCGAATCTGATTACTTAAATAGAATAAGGCATTTTATGGCAAAAAGGTGTCTGAAGCAAGGGAGTAGGTTATTGTGCGTGGAGCTAAAGGAATCGCGTGAATACACGAATTCCAAAAAAGTAGTTAAAACAAGGGATCGTAAAACCGTGTTTACGCAAAACACTAATAGCATCAATAGAGAAATTAAATTTCCGGGATGTGCTGTTAATAGACTTAAAGAGCTTCTTCTCCAGAAGTAATCAGTCAAAAATCACACAAAAACTAATTAATCCCCCTATAAACTAAAACATCAAAGACGTACCAATTTTCGAAGGAAAAATCGCCTCATTTTCCAACTGGTTTTGTGTCCACGTCATTAGGTTGTTGATGTATCGAGGAGCAGAACACTTAACTGGCTTCTTTACTGTCTGCCCATCCGCCCAGTAGTACTCATATCGTGGGCCCGCAGACATGATTGGACACGTCGTGTCAGTGCAAAACTCTGCCAATGTACCGTACAGCATATTTATCTGCTGGAAGAACTCCACAGCTGGAAGGTGTATAAAAATAAGTTAATTTAGGAGCATATAGATGATGATTAGGTAAGTATACCGACTCACTGTTGACGGCCACCCATTCACAGAGGTCCTCCCCCGTGGGTAAACGGACAGCCTGTTTGAGATCACCACTTCCAAGGGTGCCTGCTGCTTCTGGAGGCAGGATGCAGACACCGTTGGCGTTGGTTGTCACACCACCACTACCGCTAACAGTAGCACCAATTGCGGCAGCACCACCATTTCTGTTGCACTCACTCCCGCTATTTTTCTTCTGACGGAAGGTACGAGAGCCTGCACGATTGCTGTGAAAAAAAAATTAGTCTAGAAATAAGGATAAAGAAAAGTTGGAAGGATTAACGGCACTGCAAGCCATACATGTGCAAGTGGGCGAGAAATGAAAATAAAAATATGTAATACCAAGATCCGCCCAACTAGCCCATAAGACTATCAGTAAAGAAAAAAGAAAGGTTATAAGTTAAGAAGGGAGTGGATTAGGAATAAACGGGAAGGGAGTTAGGTGCCAAGAATTAAAGCGTCACACAAATTCGACAAAAGAGGGAGCGAAACTACCATCTTCGGGAGGTTTCCTTCACTTCAAATGGATTCACGACACACCAGAAACGTCTTTTCATGTGACTAGTATATTACCATGTGCTAAAAAGCATAATACTGGTTGCACAGAGGTAAAGTTAAATACCCACCAGAAGAAAAAGGACGTAAAGTAAAAATTCTAATGAGCAAGCACTGAAAAGAAGTAATATGAAAATTGCACTAAGAAACCGATCAAAAGAACTCTGCTAAAAACTGCCAGGGTTCTAGTAATATGTTCTATCGATTAAGAAAAATTATTCATGCAGTTATAATATGCCAAACATACTCTAGGTCGTATTCCTGTGTCAGAAAGCCAATATACAGATCCTTACAGTAGCCAAAAACAATCCCCAGTAAAAAATCTTACAAAATAAAATTCATTTGACGGAACACTGAAGTCCGCGGACAGTCAGAGGTAACCCTTGAAAATAAGCTAGACCCGGATAGCCGGGGAACCTCGAAATGCACACGTTGGATGTGAACTCATTAGAACAAATACATTCTTGAAAAATTAAAAGCAGTAAATTTCCAAAACTACGCAACAAACGTCAGCAAATAAAAAAATAGCATTGTTAAAGTGAAATGGGTTATTAAGGCTAACTTTACCTATGAGTCCAGATAAAGCAATCAAGTAATTCTGTTGCAACATACTAAGAAAACCGCAACTTCTGCAAAAATTTTTGTCACCTTTAACAATTAGCCTTGGAAACGAAAAAATAAACAAGTAATCCTCCGTGGAGAAGGTTTCATTACAGCGTCCCGGGACTCTATGAGGCGGAAGGAAGACGCAATACTCGGGCAGAATATATATTCAGGGCAGAGAAGGTGTCTGGGCAATTGGCACGGCCTAAAAGGCTAGCCCACCCAGCGAGGTACAAGGGTCTAATTCAAAGCGCAATAGTGGCGCCTCACTAATACCGAGGGATAAACCACTATCGTATTACAATATGTATATACTCAGCACAGAGGTGTCTGGGCTACTGGCATAGCCCGAAGGACAGCCCATCCAGCGAGGTACATGAGAGCTAATTCAAAGTACAAAAGTGGCCCTTGCCAATACCGGGGGATAAGCCACTATCGTGTTACATTACAACTAAGCGCTTGTTACAGGGAATTGGGTGGATTGAATTTTTAAATCTGACCTGATAATCTAAAGTTTGCCTTTTAATTTTTTGCATTAAGTGCCTTTACAAAGCAAACCATAATTTAATAAACTGTGCAAAATTTTTTAATTTAACTTGTGCTTGCAATCTTAAACCTTTTAAACCCCTCTGTCCTTAACTGTCGGCGACCAAGTATAAATAAATTGTATTTTTTTTGCTATTTTTGGTTTTGCTTGCATTTTTCAGCTTTCTAGAGAGATATACACGTAGTCTTTCTCTCTTTCACAAAACAACCGCAGTGGTTCCAGCGGGATGTTTTGATTCGTGTACACCTTATGGAGTTTAGGTCGTCGCACTTTCATTAGTCATTTATGCTCCTAAAAGGGCGAGAAATTGGGTCATAGTTGTCACGTACGTTTAAAACGGGTTTGTTAACGTGAACGCTAGGCCTTTTTGTGTAATATGACCGACGCGCTTCGTCACTAGTCAATTACATGGTTCGAGTTTTCGTTTTCGTAAATGGCATCGTATTCCAATTAATTTGTCATGCAAGCGTGCAAGCGACTTTCTTTTTCGCAAGCCCATTGCATCAGTTTTCTCTTAATAATGTATTCTCTTGGGCATATTTCAATAATTGTCCAGTCTGGTTCCTAATAGTTGTTGTTTGCATTCCTTCTTTCTATCTTTTTAGATGAAACTTTTACTCTAGTTTGCCTATGATTAATAACGTGCAAACCTTAGGTCTGTACTGTTTACATATTCTCCTTTGCTAGACAACGGTTTTGTCGAATTTGCTTCCTAAACTAGCCCACTTTGCAATTAGGCTCTATGCGTTGTTTGGTTTGCTTTTTCTTCAGCATGATTACTTTTTCATTCTTTTGAATGGTTGTATCAGTCTAAGCTAGGTTCTTTGATGCATATTTCTAGAAGTCCCATTCTCCCCCTGCGGCTTCTCTTTTTGCAATCTCGCATTGTTTTTCGAGTGCCAACTTCTTATTCATTGTTTTCCCACATGGAACTTTTGTCCCTTGCATAGTAACCCAGATTTTTAGTCACTCTCAACTAACTTTAAAGTCCTGTCAACTATATAAAATCTCGTTCGTAAATTAGATGCGGGTGGTTGAAAAAAATAACCTCTGCATCAAAGCATAGGCAATCGCGTTGTTAGTGACCTGCTTTTCTGCCTGCGCATGTGCACACACTCAGTGTGTAAAGATATTTTCTCACGCAGAGACCCAGGCACTCTCATATACTCTCCGTCGGCAATTCGCAAACTCACTTCCTCATTTCACTCAAGTGTATGCTTACTTGCTTTTTGTACTAATGTACTGCCACTTTCCGAATCTTTACTTAGTATTCATACCGCTGGAGATGAGTTCATGCTCTCTGGACACGCCTTCTATTCACGATAAATAGTATATGAAGGAAGTTGTTCCTTCCTTAATGCAAGTGGTCATCTCATCTCTATGTGCTTATCCCCATATCTAGTAATTTTATCATACCTGAAATAATCATTCTTTCTACAAGTGCATCAACAATTAATTTGGTCGTCTAAAGTTCTGTTATGAGGAAGGTTTCACTGAAATTACTTTACAAGGAACACATCATTCGTTGCTACGTCGGCAGATTACAAATGAAGTGTTGGGAACAGGCGAACAGACGCTTGTACTCATTTTCTTTGCCCTTTTGCTGAATTTGAGGCCACGGTGAATCAGGGCGCATTGAATAATTAAAAGAAGCTCGTGTTTTTTTCCGGTAAAGGCCCTCCCATTGTCCTATTTCAATTTCCTGTTAAGGGGCTTATCCGTCACTTGCGACTGTTTGTATGCGTTGTTCTGTTGCTGTGGTATCTTTTTGTGACCTATTACTTTCCTCTTGCCTTAAACTCTCATATCACCAAATGTCGGTTAGTGTTACATGTGATTCGAGCTTATCTGCTTTAATAACTTAGTTAGGGAATGGCTTTCGCGTTACCGCATTAAGCGAAGGAACATGCCATTGGTTCTACCCAAATCACTCACTCACTCAAGCACTTTTAAGGCATCCATCACTTCATACCGAAATTACACCAGTTTATTTGTGCATTTGTGTGTACGGTGAGGGTTAAGGTAGTGATAGGCTGCAGCTACAGGTGTTTGCCTTTAGTTATTCACTTGTTGAAGAGTTCACACATGTTTGAGATTCAACGACTTTATTACGATATAACTCGAGGGTGTGTAAGCAAAACTCCTCCTTCTTCTGTCCTATTCTTATGTTTCCCCATTCCTGTCTTCATCCTTCATATTCTCACAACGTTAGTTCTCCATACTCCAAGGGATTATTATCCCCATATCTTGGCATCAGTATTCGACAATCGCATTATCAGCCAATTAGGATAGCATAATGGAATGGGAGAGAAGAAGAGGTGGTAGAAGGAAACGAGACCTGGGCCTGGTTTGTTTGTTCCTAGAGGTGAAATACGTAGTAAGGGTAAACTTTGTATCGGTCCTGCATCTCGTTGGATGGTACTACCTTATGGATTCTGTGGTGTAATGGTGATGGTTTCAGTGAGTACAATATTTCAATGCTTGTTCTTCATTTTGTTTGGTCTTGGTTGTAGTCAGCTTGCTTGCTCTTAACACATACATGTGGTTTCTGATTTACGTTCATAGCTTCTAGGTGTCTTCATTATTTTATGCACAAAATTTATTCGGGCATGCGTGACCTTATGGGGTTTTTAAGTGTACTTACAGTTGCTTCAGTTGTCCCTCTTCAATGACAGAAAATCTTTTGCCGTCCTTAATACATTATGCCACTCCTATTTAGCTTGGACAAATGTTTATCATTAGCGGCTTTCTGGTGCAGAATGTTTAAGTGCTTCTTTGATAGTTGTTGTTGGAACATTACCTTTGCCCACATTTAGCTGGCCCTTTTTGCTCGTCAATTCCCGTATTCCTTCCTCGTTCTTTGTGGTCATGTGTCAGATGCAGATTGGATGTGGGAAGCGCCCCAAATCCAACACAAACGTCTAGACCCTCTCACTAACACCCCATTTGGCAATAATTTTGATACTAAATCGATTTATACCCTTTTCAAGCCTAAGACTTCTCAAATCAGAATGTACCCTGTTTCACGGTAGTATTAGTAGTATTTAGACCTTTCAATCCCCCATGGACTCTGACAATGATGACAACGCTACAAGAGAACTTTATCTCCACACGGAGTACGCATTGTTGATGGAAGTAAACGTGTGCTCCTGGCACAAATACTCATACTTCTGCCACAACGCTTAACGTATGCCTGAATGCCGTTCTCCCTCTTTGCAATTTTCACATGCATTTGGCAGGCGCATTTAATTTATTCGTAGTTTAGTTTATTCGTAGGTATTATTAATGTGCACTTCTGATGCTCGGATCTTTTAATAATGCTTCAATGCAATTCCTTATTTGAAGCTTTTGTAAAAAGACAGCTTGTGTAGGTGTGGATTAGTAGTTAGAATTTTTCAGGGCGCTTTTGGGGAGTTTTGTGTCATTTTTCCGTCCCACGATTTTTGTGTACTACGATTCTTCCATGGAAAATCAGTCAAGCAGTAAATCCTCTTTTTTACTGTTAGCCTTATTAATCATTTATTTAGTTGATTCTTTTGGCGCCTTCAATTACACTGCAATATTACTCTTTAAAAGGACAATTTTGGGCTCGTCTAACGACCCGCTTATTTTAGACCTCACCTCCATAGTAGGCCTCTTGTCTTGTGATTTCTTCATCTTGTGGCGTATGCCCATGAACTGAACTGGCCAGTTCATCACACATGAACTGAGGTGATGATGCGATCGCTGGATGACCGCTACTTGATTAAGGGGTCAACATCGTAGTTGTTAAAGCACGATCCATCTGTCCAATTGTCTCTCCTTATTGCCAAAAAAAGAGTTAGACGAGGTTCCGCAGATTTCGACTTTGTAACAGATTTCATCACCCTTCCTGTGAAAATCGGTTTACGGTATAAGTGTTGTATAACTGCCATCTTTATGGTAACGAGTCAGATGTTACACATATTACTGAAATTAGGGCTGTCAGGAATCAGTTCCAGGTTTCCTTCCGGTTTCCTCGTAATTACAGTGACCGTAATTTGCTGGACGTGCGGAGTGTACCGCATCCGTCACTTTAGCGCAATCATTTCCGACGATGACCACGACAGGGAGAGAGAATTGCATTCCCAGGACAGAAAAGCTGGAATTTGTGTTCCAAACATGCACAAACCCTTTCTGTTTCACTGTAGAAATGCCAACTTTTACATTGCGCTGTAAGGATGCCTGGCTTCCCAATTGAAAGTAGTTCCTTAAATCACGTATAACAAATGACTCTCTCAAAGTTACTCTCTATGTCTTACCCTTACTGGTTCAGTAAAATTCAAATTCCAATCATGCTTTAGACCTACAACGGTCCAGTAGAAAGCTCTTTGAAAAGGCCTCTCCTTTTATTAGTCCAGGCATGCAATCCACATCACCACCCCCACCACCACCATACGCCTCGAAGCACACGATAATTGCCGCACCGCCTGCCGTCTCAAATCGTTCTGGTGTCACCCCTCTCCTCTCACCCACGAGCAAGTCGCCCTCGCCTGATCCCTCGGGTCATCGAGTCTCCACTGCTCTCAACATCACCTTCTCGCCACCCCCCGCAAGTGACGGAAATTGCGCCTTCGAGTTTGCGCAGCCCCGACGTCACGTCGTTCAACGTGTCTCCACTCCCCCATCACCACCAGTGAACACCTCTGGCTCTAGCCAGGCTGCGTTGACTGTCAGTGTCACTCCCGCTGAATGGAAGCCCGGTGAGTTTTGGGTTGTGCCAGCAGTTCGGTCGCTCTCGTATAACTGGTATCTTTACGAAGGTTCAAATTTATTGGTGATTATTGTTTTATAAATGTACCATCTGCCACAGTTATAAACTTGTCTCTGTGTTTGATGGCGTACGATTTTTCAATGCGGCCAACCCATCTTTGGAAAGTCCTGATCTTGTCGAAATGCTCCTTACCTCCACTCAGTACGGCAAAATCCAACTTTTCTATGCCAAATATAAGCAGGAAATTATTTTGGTGTCTGGGATGTGTCAACTTGTCAAAACTATAATTGCTCATGGGCGATCGTGTCATATTTAGTGTTTTCAAAAGAAGACCTCTCATCATACGAGGGGTTATGTGTTGATTAGAAATAAAACCACTACAGTTGGGATTGGCATGTGGACGTACGAGCATTTCAAAAAGTTTAACACCATTTAGATGTCCTATTGTTGAGTCACTGTGTGTGCGTGTGTGTGTGAAGTGTCTTGTAAATACGAGTGGATATCCGTGGGTTCGACTCTTACGCCCTCATTGACAGGCCGCTTGATTCATCACCGAACGCTGTCGCTCGCCTACAGTCGTTACCGCTGTCGTCTTATGACATGGTTGCTGCCTATGAATAATTTGGGAAACACACACTTTCTAGTCCACGTGGTACCGCTTTATTGTATACCCTTAAAATTAACTCCATTGGCTTTGCCTAAACGTCCATGGTACGGAAATGGTGTTAGTGGAAAAAACAAAATTTAAGGGGATTAAAGAACTCCATTTATCTGGGTCTGATTCAGATGCTGGGGTTGTGGAGGAAGGCACGGTTTCTTCCATCAATTCACTTATCATAAGTACTTTTATAGTGGGCTTTTTTCAAATCATTCATGTCCGGTGTTGTTTTGGTTGTTACTTGTTTTCCGTGTTGTTTGATTTTAGTAACCAGCCAAGGTCAAGATTGTTCATTTACATTGACTCCAACGCCTACTGTTGTCATTAATGTGACCAAAAGTGACCTGAATTTGTGAAGCTATAGGTACAACTGAAACAAATGTCGTCCTGTTACGCAAGGTCTTGCTTTCCCTGTGGGGCACTGCTTCGCACCACTAAATCACTTCGTCCTGGGTCCTATTGGCCAGATTGGCAAGGTCGCACGCTTCCCTCAACCAATGGGAGCTTCCTTGTTCTTTTGCTTCTGCATACGTGCGTGTGTGCTAGCAGAAGGCATCACAGGCGGGCACCAGTAGTGTGTGATTGTGTTTGCGATTCTGATTGTGATAGAGGCTAGGCTTTGTGACGGATAATGCTGTCGTCTGAACAGTGTCTTTTTCCGCCCTCCACCTCTGACGCCCTACACCACCATCCCGTGGTTCTGCGTCGCTCTCCATCTAGCGCCACTGCAACATCTAATCCTTCTACTTCCTCCTATTCTTATCCCACTCTAGGCATCTGTTCGAAGTGTGGTTCTCGTATCACCAATGTGGCAACGGCGTGTCAGGCTCTGGGATGCTTCTACCATGACAAGTGCTTCGACTGTTGCATTTGTCGTAAGTCCTCCCTCTCTCTCTCTCCCCGCCCCATCTTGATTTCTGTCTTGGCCATGTCTATCCCCTCGGGAATTGCGCCACAATGAGCTTTTAGTTTCACTTGTTTTATTCATCTCGGTTTGGCCACACCATTCTGTGGTGCGCGAGCCTCCAGTCCTCTGGAATGCGTTTTTGTTGCATGACATGCAAAATGAATGCAAGGATAGGTGTACTCCCATAAATAATGCAACAACACAGTTGTTCTTCATCAGACTACACTTATTTGGTGGCATTTTTTGCTACCATAGACTTTGTTGTTTAGTTAATCCCTCTCTCTCTCTCTGTCCATTCTTACCTGTGAATATCTACCGGTATGTTACCATATTTTCCCATCTTGTTTTCTTGATAATAATAGTCAAACGAATGAAGTAATCAATGCAGCAGTTGCCTGTAATCCTCCCTGAATTTCTCATGGGATGCTCCTGCAGTAGCTGTTGGGGGGTAGGGCGTGTGCCCAACTAACTACATTCGTAGTTCACCTTGAGGTCAGTGAGCTAGGTGTACATCAAATTCCGTTTTTTTTTCTGTCAAAGAACAGTAATTTATACGATAAATATCATGCCATTTTAACAGGCCCAATTGGGTGCGCCTCTAGCTTGTAATTGCAAAGGAATGCAGCATCAAATGCATTCACTGGGTGTTTGGTCTCCATGCGTATGACGAAATCGACCTTTCAATTCCCTGCACTCCCATTGGTTGATTCCGCTAATGATGCCTCTTTTGTGGATTAATTCGGTGCCAGTCCAGCCTTTGAAGTTGGGGGAGGAAGCTTACCATCAATTATTTGCGCTTGATTTCACGAAACAAAAAACTACTTGCACAAATACACGTACATGGTTTCGGTTTTAGTGCAGCAATCCGTGATTCATTTTCCTCCCACCGTCCGTCTACCCATCGAATCGTTTACTGACCTTTGAATGAGGATTTGCTGTAATTTATTTTAAAACTACCATTTGAGTCATCCAGTGCTTAGGCATTTGTCTAACTTGCCAGACTTGAGTCTGTCATGAATCAGGTCTTAGTTGGAGTCAACTCTCACATTTCGCCCTTAGCAAACCTTACAGCTGTTGTGCTTGCGCTTTCTCAAGTCAATTGTGGGATCACCTTGTCTTTTCTCATGGTCTCGATGGCTGTGACCTCCTGGACTTGCTGACTACTCCGCGCCTGCCATTACTAATATGGTCGCTCTCAAAATTTTCAATTCACTCAGAAGACCTTTACTAGGCAGAGGAAATTATCACTCGATTGAGTAAACATCTTAGTGGAGATGAGTCTGAGCTCACGGCATCCAGTGTAGGAGAGGACGGTGCCTCCTCTTCTTTAAGGCAATCCATGTTGCTCTTTACTGCAGGCTGACAATTTTCTTGTGCCAAACCGCGAGAACAGGCAGCCTATCACTTAGGATTAGCTCTATGCTTTCACCGAATATGAAAAGTTACACCATATCCGCAGGTTTTCATGACAGTTAAAAGTAGCATGTAAACGTTTGTCCTGTTGAAAATACTTTGGGGCAGTGGCAATCCTCTATGTTTCTCTTTTTCATCTAAACTGTCATTATCCGGTCGCGTGATCGAGATCTCCTCTCACAGTGCTAAACCAATGTCTTAAAAGTAAAGCTCAAACTATGGCGGTAAATAGACTTGCCTAATACGGGTCTTGTCATGCTCTTTTTCCAATGCCCTAGAACGAACTCTTCGTGGGAAGACATTTTACAAGGACCAGGATAAAATCTACTGTGAAGAGGACTACCTTGTCAGTCTCCTTCTTTCCTAACTTTATGCTACCATCTGATCATCGTCGATCGTTTGACTTTCTCCTCTCCTTTTTTTCCATAATCCTGCAGTGCTGGGGATTTCAGCAGATGGCTGAAAAATGCACCGTCTGTGATCATATCATTGCTCAAACTGTGAGTTACTCCTCCTGTCCCCTCTATTTAAGTAGTATGGGTGCGACTCAACTTTCAGTTGTCATTTCGTAATTTAATTAGTGCATTTGAATGTAAGAAAAGATGATTCTTTATAGTTTCAGTGATCTTTGTTAATCCTAGCCAGTATTCGTAATTTAATGAATGTAGATGTCATTAAAAAGAGCCCCCAATCGCAGTCGCATTGTGAACTCTGACCTTTTTCGTTTGATGATTTGATGAGTTAGTTTGACGGTGAGGCGACTTCCTTTCTAATTACCATTGATGCATCATGTGGACTTAAAATGCATTAGACCTTCCTCTAAGTACAAATAGCTGCGGTCGCCCTCTCGGGAGTGCCTTCATCAAATGGAAGCCCAAGATAACCCAAGGCATCTGTAGCATCAGTGCAACGTGTAAACCATTTTATCTTATTTATCCGTCGAAAAAAACGAGTAAAACTACAGGAGAAAAGAGAACTTTGACGGTTTTGAAAGGTCGGTTCTGATTTTTTTTAAAACTTGATCTCGACTTATTGTTGGTTGTTTTGCATCACCCGAAATCTGGGCGTTTACCAAGAAGTCGATGTCGTTCTGTGCCGTCGAGTTTGTTCATTTGGATCGCATCCACGGACGGAAGTTCATGAACAGTGGCTGCAAGGTCCACACAATCATCTAACATTAAAAATAAGTACTATTTCATTACGTAATCCCTCTTCTCCTTTTGAACTTCGCCTCAAACGCTACCTGCGTTTGCCTTTCTACCTCGACTGTTCTGAGTACTTCCGTGGATTGTAATCGATTGTGAGACGACAGCGAGGTTTATACGCTAATTTCATGGTCTGCTTTAGATTCGGTTAGAGATTCTGGAATATGACATTTTCTGGAAGGGGAACACTAGGTCCAAAATGTTTTGATGAACCTACTTAAATGTGTCCTAAGTAGTAGCTGTGAGTCTTACCTATTTGGGACAGATCGTGCGCGCGATGGGCAAGTCCTACCACCCGGGCTGCTTTCGTTGCACTATCTGCAACAAAGGCATGGAAGAAGAACCCTTCACCGTGGATCAGGAGGGGCACATTTTCTGTCTCTACGATTTCTATCTTGCCACGGCACCCACCTGCGCTGCTTGCGCCAATCCCATCCTCCCCGAGTCGGTGTGTGTCTTTCCTCCTTCCCTTGTCTATTTTGTTAGTTTATCCTACTCGTTTATTCATTTATTCAATCGGCTGTTCATTTACGGATCCGTCCTTTTGTCTTTCCACCCAACCATCTAGATGCTTTAGATCCATTTCCGATCATCCAAGTCATTAACTTTCTTCATTCTCTCTTCATATTTTGTGGGCCAACACCTGAATGCATCTACTCATCGTTTTTTTGCAGACCGCTGATGAAGTACTCCGTGTGGTTGCGATGAACAAGGAGTTCCACATCGAGTGCTATCGTTGCGAGGTGAGTATTAAGTGACATCAGCATGATTTCAAAAGACTTTGTCCCCTCGTTTCACGTAGTGGAATCCACCTACGGACTTTTTAAATTATCAAGTCTTGTTGTATTTTCAAGCTATTCAGCAATTTTGTTGGAATGGTAAGTAATGGTTCCGGTTCATGTTTCCTAATTTTGAATTTTCAAATCTGCAGAATGTAACCTGTCATTTGTTGTTACTTAAATGCCATTAGTAAAAACGCTGAGCGATCACGAAGTTTACTAAGTTTTTGATATGCCTCGATGCAATGGTTAACCACGGACAGAGGATGGGACTACCCGGACCATAAATTCAACCTTATTGTTGCATCTGGTCCGTATGGTTTCAAAACAACTAGTCCTTAGTCTTTTGTTTCCACCACGTGTTGGTTATCATCTAAAGAAGCTCACTCAAGTGCCATCTCATACAAATAGCGGTGCTTACCAAACTGAGGAGGTGCCAACAGAGTGTCTCCTCTTATTACCTCGTTTCACCAGTAGTCGTATGTTTGATAGCCTTCTATGGGTTTATAGGGTCAGACAGAGAGGCTATTGTTTCCCTCCCTGTTGGTAGGACTGTGGCCTGTTGCTCTCCAACGAGGTTTCTTCGCGTTGTTATCCCTACGTGGAGACTGAAGAGGGCGAGACGCCTGGACGCACTCACCTTTTGTGCTTAAAATGCCATCTGGCACGCATCGGTGCAACTCCAGCGCCGGGGCAGAACCTGGACGCGTTGCCACTGCAACACCGACGTCGGAGCTCTAATGGCTCCTCCTCCCTCGCCTCATCGTGCGATCTGGGGGTCCCGGGCTCCGTTTCTCTCACTCATAGCAGTGGAAGTGGTGAGAGATCCTCACCATACTCTACCGAAAGACGGACGGTTTCGAAGCCCTGGTCCTCCACCGTTCGACAGGGGTACTATAGCACTGAGAGCGATGGACGCTGAGTTGCTTGTTTGCTTCTTTATTCTTCGCATTATTATTTCTCTTCTCTCTTTTTTGTATTCTTTGATGCAGTGAAATTGAGCCCGTATTGTGTGATTTTGACTTAAATGGTTGGGGTTTGGGAATAGTTGCCAAACGGAAATCTATTCCTATATTATTCCTTTTTAATGCTTTTATCTTAGTGAAGATCACTTTCGAGACCAATACCACCAGCCCGAGTAGTTTATCTCCAATCCCTCATCCAGTACTGTGTGGGTTGATTCCGTGAGATATTCGTTTCAACATGTCGAAGTGACTTGTGAGGAACCTGCTGGATGGTGAGTTTGAGTACGTTATGATGCACGTTGCTGGGAGGAATTGGCTGATCACTGATTTGTGACATAAAATGGTCTTGGAATTGTCTTAAAGGGAAGGAGTAATGAGTGAACCGCTTAAAGATGATCAGAGATGCATTCCTTCGCGCAATCTTGTAGCGCAAAAGCCATTTCTCATTACAAGCTGGTCGGGAAACTACGGCGCGATTGGCCATGGGATTCTTAATTGTATCTTTGGGTGGACACTCGTTCCGAAACTTCGTTGTAGAGGCTGTCGTAAATCGAACCATAGGTTGGTTAAACACCTTACAATTAGTTTGCCCCTATTTTCCTGTTTTTGTGAGTCAATAGTAGTGTTCTTTCTTCCTTCCCTATGGTCGCATTTCTAATCAGCTGAACGTCTAGAGCACTCTCCATTCGTCTTACCAGTTTATGTGAGCGTACATGCCCGTTGAGGTGAGTTTATGTTCCCACCAAATGGCGAAAATATGTCTCCTATCACTTCTGTGAAATTCATTTTTTAATATTAAAGGAATTCAGATGAATCATAGAAGCGTTTTACAACCTCAATTCATTACCACCATGGTCTGGAATAAGCATCAGCACCCTCATACCTTGGTGTGTTTTTGCACCAAAATTGTATCAAAGCCATACCTGAGTTTTAAAAGTACGAGTGGGTCTAGCCAGACGTCTGTTCCATTCAGCTGCCATGTGGTAGACATAAACCGGTATAGCATTTGCTACAAGCCATCACCTTCCCCGCCCCCTCCCACTCTTCCGGGGTTGTCACTCAAGCGCCTAGTGGATGCCGCTCCTGGTGTGCGGCACATTCTTCCCCTTTTTGATCTTCAAATCTCTGGGGTGGAGGTACTTTAAAATTTGCATGGATTGGCTTCAACAATAAGGTCGCGTCCCGATTGTGCCACTCGGACGTCCGTCTTGGATCATCGGCAAGTAGCTCTGTTCCCCCTCACTCTTTCGTTTTGCATCATCTTAGATACTAATCCAACGCGAGGAGCTGCTCCACCGCGTGAAACAATCATGACTAAATACTTCATCAAAATGGTCCCCGTTGTATATACTAATGAAATTAGTGAGTAGGTCCTTTTTGGGCACATCTACGGTGATCTTTTCTTGGATGTCACCCAACATTTTGGGTTAACACATTTCGGTCAAACAATGCGAAATGCTCACTCCCTCTTGTAACAACAAGTAACTGCGTTTAAAGGCAAGGAAAATACCGTTTTGTTCGGAAAAAGACAAAGTACTGTGTTTATTCAAGCTCCTATTTACCCAAATGGAGCAGCTAGAAGGGCAGTTGAGAAGTCTAAAAAGGTAAACAGTCCAGGGTAGTTCATCTCGTGTGTCTTTGAAAGTCAAACACGTGGTAAAAGTCTGGTTACGTTAAACGAGTCACACAATCCATGATTGACTTTAAAAGCAAATTTTGGTAATTGCAAATGCGCATTTTAGGGAGTAAGTCAGTCGGAAGGCATCACTTCTAATCTGCGTGGTGATTGTGACCGCTGTGATTGCCAGACTTTCGATAATTTGACTACTGGAAAAACTCCGAACTTCGCATTGCAGAAATTCCAACACGTCCCCGTGGCACGTCTTAAATACTGTGTGTAAATTTTCTCCCTACAAGGCGGACATAAACTGTGCCGGACTCCACGGCACGGTGATAATTGTTGAGGGGGTGAGTGAGAGGGAGATTGTAAAAACAGCGTTGTTTTGGCTATTTATGGGCCCAAAAATACGGATTCATTAAGCGCCACGCCAACCAAGCCCAATATCTGTCGCATGTGTGTTGTCTAATTGATAAGGCGTCTAGACGTCTGCACGGAGAATCTATCGTGTCTAACCGCAGCGGCGGTCATGGCGCGCTTTGATTATATCGGGATCGTAAACGCAGACTGCCATGTTGTTGATTTATCAAAATAACTGTCGTGGAAGTGGAGCGCTTTCTCCATAATATTGTCTTACCTTCTTTCGATGGAGGAAGAACGCTTAAATAACAATCTTTGCTGATATGAGCAACGGTGTACTTAAGAGGCCTTTGAAAAGGGTGTCGAAATAGCCGCAGAAATGGCCTGACAGAATCCTATATTTGGAGCTGGTTTTCTGTCATAGTTACGGGATGCTTTTGACTGAGGAGATGTAGATAGGGGTAAGGGAAGAATAGAGGTTCAAAGAGCCAAGAATTCCTCCTGAATTGGCCACATCATTCGATAAGTCCAAAGAACTGGCTTCAAAAGTTTGCTGTCCATGCCACACGGTGCGTGTTAAGCAATCATCGACAATACAACGAAACCTACCACCTCCTGGCTCTGTAGGACCTCTCCATAGTATCCGCTCCTTTTAATGGGTGTGAGTGAAGCGGTTCACATCCCTCCTCTCCGAAAATAAATGCATACTGACTACTTTGCTATTTAGATTTCACTTTTAAAAATAAAACTGCTGGCGGAGTTGGGGCTCCCCTTCCTAAACAGTCATACATTTCTGCTTTTTTGGCCTCCAATACCATGTAGTGGTAATATTAGCTGTTATTTCTTAAGTAAACCTATCTTAACAATGGTTTTCGTTTCCTTTTTTCCGCATTCCATCTTTCGAGGCAATTATTTGGGCAGAAATAAGGTGAAAATGATGGATGGACGAATGGCTGGCAATTTAGCTGCCAAATTTTGCCGTCCGCATTATCCCGAAAAGGAGGACACTCCATGAAATTTGTCTCCACAAAATTTTACCAATTTTTAGGCACTTTAGAATTTCAAAATATGCCTGAATATCTAACTGGTGGAACATCCCTACCTTGTTAGGTTTGCGTTCTTGTGGAGGGATTTCTAAGAGGCATCATTTCAATGACATTCGGTTTCGATTACCAACTCTGAATGGGATGACAGTCAAGTCATGCGTAATAAACAGATCTACTGTAGAGCCCCGAGACTCCCCCGGAGGTGCAAAGGAAGACATAGCACTGGGGCAAAATTTGTACCGTTTCCCTACAGAAGGGCTTAGGAGTTACTGGCAAGGCTCGGAGGCCAGGCCGCCTAACAAAGGTACAGTAGCGGGGCCCTAAGTAGTCCGTTACCAAAACTGAGGATTAAACAAACCATTAACGCTTTACGCTACGACCCAAGGAGGGGGGGACTGGAATGCCGCAGAACTACGAATTGGCGGGCGTGCCCCTATTAAATGTACTCTAGATGACTTGAAATGCCCAACTTCATCTCGGTTTAGCAATTTGAACTGATAAATGGCCGTCTTTATTGCTGCCTTTGTTTATCGCATAAATTGAGAGAGATTTATGGACAAAAGTTCATCTAAGTTCTGGATTTATAGGTGTAAAATGTTGACCGAAAGTTTGGTTTCAAATTTGCACACTATTTATCTTCAAAATTGTCATGGATTTGTAAAGTTTTGCTTACAATTGCTACCTGTGATTTTTGTTTCATATGAAAGTTTGCTCCAGTCTCTAATATTTCTCTTTAGAAAGAGTGAGGAAGAATCTCGTATCCATTCCCTCCTCTAGACCCTGTTTAGTACATTGCTAACTGCTCGATCCTCTTAGACCAACTAACATTTGAGCCTTCGCAAGGCAATCAAATGTAATAATGTGAAGCAGACCACATCAACTCGTATGGAAGTCTAGACTAAGAATTGATTGAGATTAAAGTGCCATTAGCTCAAGTGCTCCTATGTCTAGACACCGCTAATCATGAGAATTTTGCAGTGATTGCGTTAAATCGCTAGAAGGTAGGAGCGTCTTAAACAGTCCTTACACGCCTCCAAAACTCAAAGCTCTAACGCTTTGTACAAAGTAATATTTCGAAAAAGGAAAAAATTTGAAGAAGGTGAAGGAGTTGTTCTCAGAGGTGGCTGATCTATTGTCATGCGACTACTCTTGTCTGAGAAACCAAGCGATGCATAGGGTGTTGAAATCGTTGTTATCTAAGGTAAATTGATGTGAATTGTACCGGATTATCCCATGATTCCACTGAGCCCCTTTTACATCCCTAATGAGCGTTCCGGTATGGCAGGTGCAGAGCCTTCCAGACATCTGATTGGCTACAAGCACAACGTCGAGGAATTTAAGGAGAGCATCCCGGAAAAGTTAAGTATGCATACATTCAGTCCGCCTAGACTTAATTTCAAGGTAATCCCTTCAGGGAAGTCCACATGTGTGCTATATGGTTACCCAAGCAACTGTATAACTAAGAGCCCTAAACTGTCCTCTGTTTTTTCTTCGACTCATTTGCTCGAGAGGTACTGAGGGTTTCAAAACCAATGTAAATATGAATTAAGAGAGAACGCTTTTAACATGCTTATTATATAAAGTACCATAAAGGAAAGCAACTACCTACCTATATAAGTAGTATTTGGCAAAGGAATTCGTCCAATTTATACATGGTATAAATTTATCACAATTTTATTTAAAAATGGTCGCACTTTGGAATTAATTGAACTGGAGGTATTTTTAAAGTTGCGGAATAAGGATAAGGTAATTTATTTTGACCACAGTTAGAGCCTCAATAAGACTCCCAATGTGGCCAGCAATTCAGTCAATGTGAAGAAGCCAATGGCACAGAACTCACCTTTCCCTATAATCTACGAAAGCACCCCAAAAATTGTTGTCTAAAAAGGTGCCTTAAAAAATATGTCAACATTAATGAGTTATTTTAGAATGTAGTGGAGAGTTTCCAGGATCTACTTTGTCTGCTCCTTAACCAGGGGAGTTAATCGGTCTGCAAGGTTTCGGTCGCCATTTCGATATCATGACGTTCTACTCACCACGAATAAGCTACCGAAGCAACATACACATTTTCATTAATTGCTAATGAAATTCAAACCGAGAAACAAGGATAAGAAACAGACTTTCAAGACATGCTTGCCATGTGTCGCGTGTCCTGATACGCAGTGACATACAACATAGTCAAAGAACTGGAGAGCCTCTCTTTTCTAAAGCTGCATTAAGAGGATGTAGAAGCCTTGTTCTAGAACATTCTCCTAGCCTTAGTAGAGCTTTTAGCTAAATTCCTTCTTCACTTTGGTCGTCTAACAGAAAACATAGTCCCACAGTTAATTGAAATGTGCATTTAATGAACGGAAAAGTGGGAAACAATTGGGTTATGACTTGTTGTGTTGGAAGGTCAAATTCTTGCATAATTACATTTAGAAAACAACAGCAACGTTTGATGGAACGTAAGCAAGTTGTTTCATCCTCTGTAAGTGAATATCAAGCTGCAAGTGTGATACCTCCAACTTTCAATATTGGAGATGGGGCGTAAAACCATGTTTTTTCCGTCTTGACCCATGGAGTGTATCCGAAACGTGTATAACCAAGCATAAGTTTATATCAACTATTCAAATATGGAACGATAGCAATAAAGATTGTGTAATAATATAAATGCAACGCAAACATTCCAGTCAGCGCTTCGGGTCCTCCGAAAGTGCATTTGGCACCCCGTCCCTCCCCTCCAGCGCACTTCGAGGTCAAGCAGAGGTAACGTCAACTTAGCCTTGACTAATAGGTTACGCTGCCTCTCCTGACGCCTTACTTGCAACGTAATAACAGCATTACACTTATTCACAACAGACCGACTGGACCGAAAGGCAAGGAGTTAAAGTCGTAGACATGGAAATT